ATGCCAAAAGTGAAATAAAGCTGTATTATATGTCAATAATGTCCATGGATTTTACTGTACTTTCGAAAAGGTAATTCTATTGTCTAAGGACGATAAGAAATAGAGTCCATGGACGTTATTTCCGCTGCGCCTTATTTCACGTCAACGTAAAGCTTGCATGATTTTTAACATTTCTGACATTAATTCACTTTTCAATTGTGTATTAAAGTCAATGACATTATTTATACAATTCTTCTGACATTATTTCACTTTTGGCCTGTGTATCTATGACATTGACATTAATTCACTTTTCAAATATGTATTAATGTCAATGACATTTATTCCATTGACATTATCGCATATCACCTGATTTGCGAGAAAATTACACTACGCTACAAGATGAAGACACAGAAGTTAAAGTCATGCTACGAATAGTTTAAATATCTTAATACAGAGAGCTGATTAAATACTAAAATTGCTAATAATTCCTTTTTTTCTTATTTATTTAGTAGAGAAAAATGGTTTTCCATATCAAATATAACTGTAGTAATGAGAATGAACTTCTTTTAAATGCGCTGCAAGAGCGAAATTTTCATCATCAATATCTTTTAAAAGCGAGCTAGCCTTGCGAAATCCGGTTTGGGGTTTGTTACCCTAGATCAGTTCAATCGAACTGAGTTGAATCGTAATTTTTAAGATAATTTTTTTCCGCGCGTTTGTTAAAATATATTAGACTTGTTTGAAATAGAAGAGGATAACGCTATATCATCAAATCTTAATTTGGTTCGTTCCTTCGGCCAAAGAGTACTTGTCTTCTAGTTTTAGAGTTCCGAAGGTGTAATGGTGAAAACCCCAGGGACCTAATTGAAAGATAACGTGATGCTTTTTTCGTAGAACATAAAAGAATGATATGCAACCATTTTTGCATACTTAACTAAACAACATATACATTGATTCCCGATAAAATAGGGCCACGACGTTTTGACAACTTTGGAAATTTTTTTTCATATAATAATAGATTGACGTTTACATAATATGTTTGTGTTTGGTTGAGCCATCTCCGAACGGCAATGGTTTTAATGAAAAGCTTTTTCGAGGTAAAAATACACTCGGAGGTTCGCCATTCCCTGCCGAGGGGCGATTGGTGTTAGAAATAACTTTTGCTAATTTTAGATATTGCTCGGACCAGGAATTGATGTATGATGTCACTTAAAAACCCGTTGATTTTTTACATTTTTTTTCTGAAGTGGCACAGTGGGACGTCCCCATATATTCTGCGGCCAAAAGTAGTAACCGTACAACAAATTCGCTGAAATTCCATATATAATCTATTCTATACTTAAAAATGAAGAAATGTGGAGAATGGTATAAGTCGACGCAGTGAAACGCACATACCTCTTGTATGCGAAAATTATAAATGTTATCCCTTTTTAATAAATTCATAGTATATGCCAATTTTAACCAGGGAAGCATAAATCTGAAAGAACGTCAAAATCAGTTAATATTATCGTCCACCAACTTAAAAAATAGGAGAAAATGCTAAAATATTATATTTTGATGAGATTTGGTGTACCCTGCCCGTTTTACGCCAATTTGTTTTTTTTTTTGGAAGGCAATGAAGAGTTTATCACTATGGCACCGAGCCTCCTACAAAATTCTTTTGGCTCTAAGTACTAAATTTAATAAATTTTGGGGAAATTTAACAAACACATTTATTTTATTTCTAAAGCAGTTCCCTTTTCTTGCATTTAAAACTGACTAACCGAAAACATTTACCATATCTATATACCAAAGTATATGAAAGGTATGTTTTTGCACTGGAACCCACTTTTGGCATCGAAAACGAATCTCGTCCAGAGAGGCGTCCACTTTTGGCTGATTGCTGAATCAGATTCATACATTAACAAGACATAAATATCTACCCCTGCCTCCATTTCCATTTCCATTTCCATTTTTTATAACGTCCTATTTATTTTATGTACACAGCAGATGGGTATTTATATACAAAATCGACTACGGAACTTTATTTTCTGCTACGATTTCTCACGTCATTTACTACGTTTTAGGCTAGCTATAGTTCTAACCCTGATGTGCAGGCTAGACGCTTTTAAGGTCGTACATATTTATAGCGTCACATCTTTTTTCTGCTTAGCCGTGCCTAATCTTGTTGGCAAAAATTTGGTCTCTAATGTGTAGCTCTTGTTTATGTTTTTATTGTTGAAGTGTTTCGTTGCATCACCAAAATAACCTAACCCAACAAAAACCATAGTAAAGCTAAATAAGCACACTGAATATTCATTTCGGGGCGCTTGAACTTTTTGCCTTCTCTTCTTCTGAACGTTACTTTTTCGTTCTCGTTTGCTTCCATATACTAGGTCATTTTTCATGGACGCTGCAGTGTGAACTTGGTGCGACTTATAGTTAAGAAACTCAGTCATTATTTAGTATAGCAAATCACGAAGGCCATCGAACAAACTACATACTTATACTCAAAAAATTAATGTACAAAGGTACCTATATATGTATGTATGTTTAAATTTGCATATTGATACAGCACACATGTTTTTAATGTAAATCGTATTAATTTTGCCTACATACATGTTTGCATAGCGTCTGTCCATGGCTCACATTTGCGTGATTATTTCGAAACTGTTTATTTCGCAGTTGAACTGAATAGGAAGTGTGCCATTAAAAATGACAAAGTACAATTAGGTGCGTACGTACTTAAAATGAGGAAAGAAATAAATGATTTGATAGGTACATTTTTAATCAATTAACCGGGGGTCAATTAAGCGGGGAATACTTTATAAGCTAAATGTATGCGCAGAAGTAAGTATACTGTGATGTAAAATATATCTCGCGCTAATAAACGGGAAGTGCTTGTAAGTGGCGAGTATAGTATATCGAAATAGTTTCGGTACGATTTGGTTATAAAAACACAATTGTAGTTGTTTTATTCTTACTTAAAGGGGAATAATTTTATTCGGTGTGCTTAAGTGCCGGGAAATACTGTACTGTATACTTAAACCTTTTTTTTATAAAATGTACGTTCGGGTTTTGAGTCTTTCACTTTTCACTTCCAAAGGAAATCCCAAGGCGAATTTATACAAGGTGGTGTTGATGGCGAATTTCGATTTTAGTGTTAACTAAATAAGTGCTTTAAAACAACTTTTATAGTAATTGAAAATCACATAACTCCTATTATTTTTCATTCATTACTTTTATAGCCACTTACCCAGCACGAACTTGGCAAACAATCCCACCGCTGTAATGGCAATTTGACTAAAAATATACCATAAGCCTGAAGGACACCGCAAACGAGAGAATATCCAATCAATGTTATATCCCATGGCGAGTTGCTGCTGTGGTCGGGGCTCTTGCTGAGGATGAACGTGAAACTGGCGCAGCGCGGAGGCGATGATGGGCGCGATATTGTTTATTTTTTATTTATTTTTTGTTGTTGGTGATGAGTTTGGGATGATTGAAGAAATAATAGGAAAACACAGTAAAATTAACAAATGATGAATTAAAGAATTGCTTTCGCGGGTTTTATTTGCATTTATAGTTTGTTTTTTTTTTCAAAAAGCACTTAAAATCATGACGTAATAATAAAAATAATAATTCCACCATAACTTAAAATCAATCAGTACCGGAAAAACTATCTATTAATGTATATACATAAGTTGTTGCTCTTAATTTGTTGCACAAACGAAAAATGCAAAAAATTACGTCTTGCACAACGTCAACGTAACGCGGGCGAATGCTTACAATTGCTTGACAAAATAAATGCGCGTAATATTTTTTACAAATATAGAATTTTTTCTGACAATTTCACAAGGACTTTTATAGCAGAAAATTCGTTGAATATATTTTTTTATTATTCTACATGCTAAAGTACACAGTTATTTAATTGTACCGTATTTTAAATACTACACGCATCACGCGCCTACTCATACTTAGGGCCGTTTTCTCAAATAGGTTTTAAAATTTATCTTCCCTTTAAACACAGATTTTGTTATGAAAAAAGTGCATGTTTTGTCTACTTATCCTTATCGGGCTCACGCCTTTCATAATATTGTCATTTTAAGCAACCTTCTACTTTTCAGAGCAACCATCTCCCCTGACAAAGCATCAAAGGGCAGAGGATGGGCCGTTTGGCCTTATTGGAGTGCAATATTTAAAGAAACGAAAACAGAATTTTCCTCTTCAGCTAAGTTTTCAAAAGAATCGGTGTTGCTGTATGGCGCGGGTGTACCTTTAGTTAACCTCTACAACATATGTAGGTGGGCAATATTTGCTCGCGAGCAACGCCAGCGCCGCAGTTCGTTTACGTATAGGCCCGTTTACACGCAACTTTAGCGTTGCGTTGGCGTTGGCGTCGCTTCGACAGCTGACTATGACTACATGCAGTTATAAGAAATTCTCCACATGACCAAAGTTGGGCAAAGCCAACGCCAACACAACGCAGAAAGATGGCCAACTCTCAACTTTTCGCGTGCGTCGTTCGTCAGTCAGCTGTCCAAATAATCAAAATTATGTGATTTAATTTTCCTTTTTAAACCAAATGCGGGCAAGAAATATAGTTTTTAATGAAATTATTGATTTAAGATTTTGATTTATCTGCCGCTAGTACGTTAATTTAGTGACCAAAGTATTCTCTGCTAAGCGTTCATTGTAGCAAGCATAGGCGTTATTCGCGCTGCTGTCAAAGCGACGCCATCGCAAACGCAACGCCAAGGTTGTATGTGGACCAGCGTTGCTACTAACAATTTTTTCCGCTACCAATTTTCTTCCCAAATCCGACCAAACTTGTTTACAACCTTCCAAATATATTTCAATTACAAAAAAGCATTCTGAAAGCATACAATTCATTTATTTAATTCTGTATCAATGACAAAATTTTTTTTATTGATAAATTTAAGCTTTTTCACCAATAAGAGACGTATTTGCCGCAATAAGAGAGAGGCCGAAGTGCGTGAGTGCGAAGAGCTTGAAACGCGGGCCGACAGGAAAACGCCCGAAAATTTTACGAAAGAGTTAGGCGACTTACGGAAGGTTTTAAGACCAGGGCGACTCTTGCAAGAACAACAATGGCGTACAGTGACAGTTGTCCAAAACGTACTTAAATTATGGAGGGAACACTTTTCCACCCTACTGACTTGTAGCGGCGCTGAAAGCTGTAGCTGTTTGCTACCAAACGGGGTTTCAGACAGGGTGACTTCCTTTCATGTGATTTCTTTCATCTGATGGATAAGATAATAAGTGCTTCAGAACTGAACCGCTCAGGAATAATTTTTTACAAGAGCGTGCAATCGCTGGCGTACGCCGCACTAAGGGGTATTTGAGACAAAAAACCGGTCAAAATTATTTAGGGGCCTATATTATCTCAAAATACAATAAAAAACAATATATAATCAATATTTTGCATTTATCAATAAAAAATACATAAAAAAAGGGAAAAAATTTTAAAGTAAAATTTTTTGAAAAGTTGATTTTATTCGGAGTCAATGCCATCCAATTCGCTGTTAACATCCGAATACTCTTCATCATCATCAATATCTTCAACAGTATTGTCGTCCGACCTATTTAAGTTCGTTGCAGCAATCAAAATGGTGTTTGCCTCGGCGGAAAATGGCAAGATTTTCTTTTTATTTTTTGGCCGACTCGAGCTGAGAGAGGATCGGATGTTAAAAGTAATCTATTTAAAATGTCTCTGTTGCACTTAGTCCTCGGNGAGAGAGGATCGGATGTTAAAAGTAATCTATTTAAAATGTCTCTGTTGCATTTAGTCCTCGGAAATTTTCTTGCAAAGTCTACCCGATATTTGCGAATATGCTTATTTCGCGCCTCAGCGGCTTCCTCGGACAATTGTCCAATTGGCAGAATTGCTTCTGCCATCACTTGCGATCCGTGCATCAGAATTTTGTGGACTGTAGGCGACATTGGATGCCATCCGTACAATTCCACATACAGTTTGGCAGTGTCTTGGGCATAATCCTAAAATTTTTGGTGATCAACCTCATGGCCACTTGAGATTACCTCAAGAATCACTTTAAACTTATTGATTGATTCCAAGTTGATGCCCGCCTGGACGTATTCCCATCATTGCTGTTTCCAAAGCCAGCTTTAGGAACATCAACAAGTAGACTTATTTCTTCTCTGAGAGATTTCCGTAATTTCTATTTTGTTTCTTTAACAATCCTTTTCTCTTCCTGTGTACTGAGAGCCCAAACTTTAGGGCTTCTTTTTTAACAGCACCTTTCTCTAGTTTGTTCAAATCCTTTGATGTCTGGCCGCATATATAACATCGCATAGTTGATGCAGTTTCCGTTGCGGAGTTGCAGACCTTTCCGTCTACCATTGTCAGCAAAATATTGTGACTGATTTTCACTGATATTTCACTGTCTACAGTTTCCTTCAGATTTTTAGCGTTATTTTCAATGTATTATAAAAGAAAAAATTTAAGCAAAAAGAATATTTTTTTAAAAATTTTGTCTTTGACTAAAAAAAAATTTAAAAAGGTTGGGGTGGGTCGCGGGGGAGATTTTATTTTTCATTCAGATAGGCAAAGGTTCAAACTTTATTATCACATTTTAAATGTAAGGCGACAAAGCCCGACAAATAAACAAAAACACTATTGTTTTAAACTTTTGTTAAAAATAACATGTTTTTAAGAAGGAAATTTTCAACATAAGTCTAAATGCGGAACTTTGACGAGAAATTAACTGTAACATATTTTTATACAAAGCACATACCTTGAACATCCATATTCAGTACGAATTTTTCTGGTAATTCACCATACGAAGAGACATTAACACAGAGAAACATGTAAAATAATCAAAAGCGCCGACAACAAAGACACGCGTTACACACAAAGGCTAGGTTCCGACTGATTTTGTGGCCAGACGCAGTGAAACTCGCGGGTTTGGGGGCGGTGAACCGGTTATGGTACTTATTTAAACATGCATTGTTTGTGTAATTTTATGAATTTTAGAAAAACCACTTTTGACCGGTTTTTTGCCTCAAATACCCCTTAGTGCGCCGATGACATCGACATCATCGGTATCAAAAACCGCGAAATCTGTTCTGCCTTTTCCAAGTTAGATAAGGAAGCAAAGCGAATGGGTCAGGTGGTCAACGAGGACAAGACGAAGTATCTCCTCTCATCAAACAAACAATCAGGCCATTAGCGTCTTGGCACCCACGTCACTGTTGACAGTTATAATTTCGCGAAAGTGGAGAATCACTCTTGCCAACAAGTGGTACTTTGGACTGAATAGGCAATCCAGGAGTAAAGTCCTCTCTCGACGTACGAAAACCACGCTCTATAAGTCACTCATCATGTCCGTGCTGGTATATGGCGCAGAAGCATGAACAACATCCGATGTGGCAACTCTTGGAGTATTCGAGAGAGGATTTACGGACCTTTACGCGTTGGCGACGGCGAGTACCGCAGACGATGAAATCATGAGCTGTATGATTTTTACAATGACATAGACATAGTGCAGCGAATGAAAATACAGCGGCTCCGCTGGCTTGGCCATGACTTTCGAATGGACACCGACGCTGCAGCTCTGAAAGTATTCAACTCGGAACCCGCTGGTGGTGGCAGAGGAAGAGGGAGGCCCCCACTGCGATGGAAAGAAGGACTTGGCTTTACTTGGCATTTCCAATTGGCGTCAGTTGGCACAGATTAGAAACGACTGGCGTGCTTTGTTGAACTCGGCCAAAATCGCTCAAGTGGTTACAGTGCCAATAAGAAGATAATACGTTAAAATCCGTTCCATTTTGTTATCCGGATTATGCGTATATTAAAAAAATCCGGATTGAACTCTGTTTATATAAATCCATATTTCATCAAAACACTAAAACAGTTTTGTAGTAAATTTAACTATAAGTATTGCACTACTAATGAAGTACCTAATAGGGGGCAGCCACAAAATCAAATATTCATTAATGAAATATTGATGTGAGCGTATTTTCCTTTTTATTTACACAGTTTAAAATGGTCTTTAAACATCCCGAGCCGTTTTATTTTATCTCAACCAGCATGCGTGAGAACAATGTCAACTGATAACGAGAGCTTGCAGGCGCAAACATTGAAACGTCACACTTTCCTGATACCACAGAGGGAGTTCAGCATACGCATGTTACTTATACAACACCAATATCTATGTACATTAGGGCTGTGCAATTATTCGATTACTCGACCTAGGTGGTTAATCAGTTTTCCGGTTAATCAATTACTCGATTAATTAAAATTTTGATTACTCGAAACGATGATTAATCGAGTTACTTGATATATGATTACTTAAAAAAATTGATTTTGCTCGTTAAATGAGTTTGCTTTGGCAAATGCTTTTTTTTTCTTTTTCACATTCTGTACATGAAAAAATTA